AAGGACCGTTCCCGGAGGCCGCAGAGGTCGGTGCGGCAGCAGCTCCAGCAGAGCTGCCACTTTCGGGTGACACAGCAAGCAGGGTCACAGACCACCAGCTGGACAAAAGACATGGGTCAATTCGTGAATCTGTGTGCCACCCTCGTACAGGGGCCACGATAGCCTTCGCTGTCTTGCTCCAATTTGAGTACACACGCTGCCGCCAAAGCGAGCGCAAGCACGTTTCGTCTTTTTGACATGGGGTCTTACTACACAGTTCAGGCAGGCCTTGAGCTCACTTTGTAGCTCAGGCTGGTCTCGAACTCCCAAGGATCCTCCTGCCTCAGCCTCCTGAAGGCTGGGATTACAGGTGTGTGCCACCATGCCTGGCTCTTGAATTTTTTTGTTGTAATGGGCTGGGGATATAGCTCAGCGCAGAGGCCCTAGGTTCAATCCCCAGTGTCTCAACTAAGGAATGAATTAAGATACCCCTGGAAAGGAGACAACTCAGCAGCATAAGCGCCTGCATGGCAAGCACAAGATCCCGAGTTCGATCCCCAGTACAGAAAAAAAAAAAAAAAGATGCCCCTGGAAACCCAGGTGCGGTAGCCCACACCTGTAATCCCAGCACTCAGGGGCTGAGATAGTAGGATCTCAGCAAGTCTGAGGGCCAGCCTGGGCTACGAAGTGAGCTCAAAGCTGGCCTGAACTGCTGAGTGAGACCCTGTTCCCAAGAGACAAAAAAGGCTCAATCCCAGGCCCGGTTCTGCGCCCACCATGACCGACAAAACACATATGTCTTTGGATGACATCATTAAGCTGAATGGGAGCCAGCCAGGCGGCCACGCTGGGGGCCATAGCTGGGCAGGGCCGGCTCCCAAGGCAGCCGTGGTGGTGGGGCGCAGGCGAGTGCATCAAGGCGGCGGGCCCACGTGGAATTGGCGGGCCACTGCCCGTGGCATGGTGGGCTGGTGGGCAGCGGCAGGAACCAGCCTGCCCCCTACAGCAGGCCAAAGCAACTTCCAGACAAGTGGCAGGAGGACAGTGGTTTTGGGGGTGGTGCCGGGCGTGGAAACCGGTGGAAAGTTGTTGGTGTCAAACCTAGACTTCTTGGGGGCTGGGGAGATGGCTCAGTAGAATCTGCGCTTCCCTGGCAAGTGCAAGGATCTGAGTTCAATCCTCGGTTCCAAAAAAAAAAAAAAGCAGTAGCAGATGTGCACTTTGAGGGGAAGGCAGACACCCTGAAGGCTATGGAGCAGTGCAGTGGGGTGCCTCTGGGTGGCTGCCCCACGAACCTCCAGCTTGTCACATCACAGACTGAAAAGGGGCTGGCGAGATGGCTCAGTGGAATAAGCGCTGCCCTGGCAAACGCAAGAAAGAAACAAAGAAAGAAAGAAAGAAAGAAAGAAAGAAAGAAAGAAAGGAAGGAAGAAAGAAAGAAAGAAGAAGAAAGAAAGAAAGAAAGAAAGAAACAAAGAAAGAAAGAAAGAAAGAAAGAAAGAAAGAAAGAAAGGAAGGAAGGAAGGAAGGAAGAAAGAAAGAAAGAAAGAAAGAAAGAAAGAAAGAAAGAAAGAAAGAAAGAAAGAAAAGAAACACAGCAAAGACCTGCGCAGAGCAGGAACAGAGGTGGCACGACTGGAGACCGCGGCTCTGGAGGTGTTGGCGGCACCCAGAAAGGGACCCGTGGAGGCAGCCAACGCAGAGGCAGGAACTCAAAGCAGCAGCAGCGCTCTCTCTCTCTCTCTCTCTCTCTCTCTCTCTCTCTCTCTCTCTCGGTACCGGGGATTGAACTCGGGACCTTGTGTTTGCCAGGCAAGTGCTTACTGTACTGAGCTATCTCCCCGGCCCAAGCTGCAGCTTTCTGCAGAGGAGCTGAATGCACAGCTGGACGCCTGATGCAAGGATAGGCACCAGCTAAGCCGCCCATCTGTGTTTGTACCGAGTTATTTTTTTTTTAATTTTATTTATTTATTTATGTGTGTGTGTGTGTGTGTGTGTGTGTGTGTGTGTGGCCAGCTCAGCCCACCAGGGGGCGGGGCTGGCTGGCATGCGGTCCCTGTGCTTTGCTAAGCTTGTTCTAAGTAGGTGCTTTAGACCACTGAGCCATCTCACCAGCCCTGTACCAAGTTATTTTGAGGATAAATTTTCCTGGTTGCTGTTGTGGACAAGGTGGCATTCACCTTTGCCATAATAAACTAGAAATGTGTTTAAAAAAAAAAAAAAAAGACAAAAAAAGGGGGCCAGCAAGATAGCACAGCAGACTAAAGCACCTGCTTAGGCAAGCCAGGGACCACAGCTGCATCCCCAGCACCACAAACCGCGCCAGCCCCGCCCCGGGGTGGGCTGAGCTGGCCACACACACACACACACACACACACACACACACACACATAAATTTTTTAAAAAATTTAAAAAAAAAAAGTGCTGAGACCCCTCCAACCCTTCCCACCCTCCATGTGGCCTGTGAGTTCAGTGCTTCCATGATAAGCTGGAAATCCAGCAATTCCTGCTTCCCGGAGTTCTGTGGGCAGTTCTCTCCCTGTCCCGTGTGGTGCTGGCACAGGGAGAAACACTGGCCTCGGGTGGGCGACCTCCAAGCGATACAGGGAGCCTCCAAGTGACAGGGAAAGACGATCTCCCGGCCTGACCTACACGAGCTCGTGTTCTCTAAAACCGAAGAATGAATTTTAGGAACAAACGGAGGTTAGGAGCAGAATATATTTATTGAGAGAAAGAAAGCTCCTGTCCCGAGAGAGGGACAGGAGAGGGGGCCCCAAGCAAGTTGTCCTCTGGAAGTTGTCTCTTCCAGGGACTTTTACAGAGGAAAACCATGTGGTGAGGCGGGTCTAAGGTGGTGGAGGAGACATGGGAACTCGCTTAGGTGGGCAGGAGGTGGGACAAAACTATGTCAACCAATGAGATTACAAGCACCACTGCTCAGGTAAAATTGATTAAATCCAGTATCGAATGGGAAAGCGAGTCACGTAGCAAGCGGGCACAAACATGGAACAGGGTCTCTTCCTGTTGGGGGCTGGGCTAGTGACTCATTTGGGCTCTTTCAAGTTGATTGATACTATTTAGGACATCAATCCCTGACGCCCATCCCTAGGGAAGTGTGTAGCTGTGTTTCTCTTTTTGTCTTGGTCTTGAGGTCTGGCCCATACGGGAGTGTCTCTCTCTTCCAAGTTGCAAAGTCGCCTTGTCTTCCATCTTGTCTCCTTGAGGGCCTGGCCCTGTCTGGCTGCCTAGAATATTTCTACCTAACTCGGCTGCCTGCAACACCGGCACAGCTGGAACCCGGGCCCTATTGAACCTAGGGACTCTGCAGTGAGCTTCACCCCCAGTACTTATTTCAGGGATTGAACTGAGGTCCTTGTGCTTGCCAGGGAAGCGCTTATTCCACTGAGCCATCTCCCTGGCCCCTACTTCTTATTTCTTTTCTTTTAATGTACCTAGTACTGGTTCTACAGGGTCTCACTATACAGATCAGACTCATAGTGATTCTCCTGTTTTCAGCCTTCCAAGAGCTGGAATTATAGGCGTGCCACCACGCCCAGTCTCAATCCTAGTCTCAGTGTGTCTGCAGGGTCCTGAGGGCAGGCAGAGCCCCGCTCCAAAGCCCTCCAACTGCAGGGCTGCACTCCAGGCTTGCCTGTTCCGTGCCTCGGGCGGCCTTTCCGTGTGACATCCCTCTTCAGATCACCTTAGTCTCCACCTCGGGTTGTGCCTGCTCTGTGTCCCCTTACAGGTGGGGCTTTCCGCGTGCCTAGGAGCCCAGGCAGCTTGGGGGACACCCAGGCAGGAGCCCCACGTGCGGGCACATGACACCCCGGGCTAGCCCACTGCTGGTATACAGCTGGCTGTGGTGTGGGGAAGCCAGGCGGGGCAGATAGGGCACTGGGGGCCTGCAGACGCCTCCGGCCCCCTCCTTCCCTCCTCGCGCTCCCTCCTGCCTGCCCTGCCGCGGGCTGTTTCTCCTCCTGCACCAAGGTCTCAGAGCAAGGCAGTCATTGTCGGGACTGGCGGGTCCATGGCAAGCTGGGCTGCTCTTCCTGCTCTATGTGCCTGCCTGCCACGGGCACAGGGTGGCAATGCCACACACTCCTAGCTTGTCCCACAGGGCTCACATCTCAGCCCAGAAAGCCGGGAAGGATCCCTGGGAGCCCGCCCCTGGGAGCTGCCGAGCTGGGCCGGCCACAGGGGTGCAAAGCAGACTCGGCTCTGAACCCAGCAAGGCCAGAGCAGGAGCCGTCGCAGGGGTCTGGAGGAGCGGGTGGCTGGCACCCTGCCGCCTGGCCACTGAGGGCAGTGCAGACCAAAGAAAGGCTCACTGCTGTGGGGTTTGTGGCTTGCTTGTGGTTTTGCTTGCTTGTTTGCTTGTCTTTTTGAGACAGGGTCTCTGTGCGGTTCACGCCGGCCTTAAACTCACTTTGTAGGCCAGGCTGGTCTCAAACTCAAAGATCCTCCTGTCTCAGCCTCTCGAATGCTGGGATTACAGGCACCACGCCCAGCTCTGGGGTTTTGTTTTTGTTTTTTCTTTTTATTATTTAGTACAGAATCCAATCACTACACAGATCAGATTCACAGGGATCCTCCTGTTTTCAGCCTCCCAAGTGCTGGCATGCGCCACTGCGCCCTGGGGGCACAGCATGCAGGAAACTGAACCCCAGTCTGAGTCTGGCTAAGCAGGCGCTTCCATCTGCTGAGCTATTCTGCAGGTCCTGCTGTTTTGTTTTTAAAGCAAAAGCAAATCTGTACCCCTACCTGCCTCAGAGAAAAACACAAAGGAAGCTTTTCCTGAGTCGCCCTCCCAGGGCCTGGAGACTACCTGCCCTTTGTCCCCGTGGGGTCCCTGCCAGTCAGTCCTCACCTGGCCACGACCTGCCTGCAGTCCAGACACGGAGCTGGACGCGCTACAGGCCTGGGGCTGGGGTCATCAGGAGGGAGGGAGGGAGTCTCAGGCTCCCGGGGCACCAAGGGGAGAGCCATCCCCCCACACACAAGCCCACACTCGGGCCAGGGCCCTGTCTCCCACTTCCCTCCCTGCCCGGGCCATTCCGTCCAGCTGACAGCCCCTGTGCCAGGGTGACCTCACCACCTTTGCTCCAATGAATGAGTCAAAGGTCAGAAATGTTTGGTTCCCAGCCCAAGGGCTGCAGCCGCTGGCCTCCCCACCAGCCCCAGGTGCCTGACCCCGGGCCCTGTCCACAGCCATCAAGAAAGCCGTAACCCCAGT